ACAAAAGGTGGGTTTTAAGAGGTTAAAATGACTAAAATCGAGCAGGAAAGTGAAGCAGAATTGCAATCTTTTTCTACTTACGATCACAGGCCACAATGTAGACCTCAACTTCCACACGGATCAGTTCTTTCAGCAGCTGCGGGGAAACAGGGAAGGTTAATATAAAAGGGCCGCAGTAGAAAAAGAGGCTTCATCGTTTGATGTAAATTTGCTCACAGTTTTGAGCCCCTTCAGAGCCGTTATATCCAGAAATGAGACGGCGGCAAAATCCAAAACCAGGCTGTGGACGTCCACAGGAGGAACAACGATGTTGGCAGGAAGCCTGGCGTTCCAGTCAATGCGGGCGGGGAGCTCCCTGTAGTCCACCGGCTGTTCCAGCTCCTCCGTGCCGCTGTCGTCTTCAGGTTCCTTTACGTATCCGTTGGTTGTGTTCAGGAAACCCGTCTGCGACGGCAACATTTTAGGACATTTTTAATCAGAGATACTCAAAATAGACATTTTGAAATATGAGAAAAAACTGTGGAATTTAGAAAACAAAGCTGCGGGTGTGCAACATATGATATGTTCGATATGGAGACGTGTGCGCTGTCCTGTGATCCTTGATAATAATGCTTTCATAACTCTTATCGATAATCCCTAAATGTTGTTTGGCCCTCTCTTTTTTATTATTATTATATTCAGCCTTAGAGATGTGATTAAGCTTAGAGATAGGATGAGTTTTGATGCGTCAATTGGCAAACAATCAACCTGCTATAGAGGTAAAGTATCTCCTGATCTAAGATAGATGAATGCTCATCATTTTAAAACTCTGCTGCTATGGGTTACAGGCATAGTTTTGGCATACAGTAGAGGAAGACGCAGCAACATTTGGCCCCTAATAAATCTTTATCAAAATGAAAAGCACACGTGTCAAGATTACAGTTTCCTCTCGTCCCATTCGTACCATCTCACCCAGATAGCAGGAGATAAATGATGGCACCTTTTACTGAAGCAAGAGTCTGCACCCAGTTTGTTTTTCTTGTAATGAAAATTGTTTTGTTTCATTTAATATAGCATAATTTTTTTGTTTTTAAATCTCCATTGAGTTGCATTGAAGAAGAGTTGCTCAACCTTTTATTGCCCAGTGCGTGACAGTCTGTT